CCTCGCAGAAACTTGTCTGAATTTGCAGCGTGTTACCGCAGGTCTTTTCTTACTGTTTCCCTTGTTTCCCAGTGCGTGTGCCGTCAAGCTTTCCAGGAGCTCCTGTCCAGAGCCTCGGAGCTCCTTCGCAGGACCTTCCAGAAGCTTCTGTCGCCTCGCTATCTTGGTTTGGGACACGACTAATTAGTTGCTGCTCGCGTGCCAGACTACGAGTAAGTCGGACACGTCCCTCTACAGGAGGAATGTTCGAAAATCGTTAAAAATTCGTCTGGAGACGATCCTTCGATTTTGTCGTACCATGTTCGAATATCTGTTGGCCAATTGTTATGTCCCTCCAAAATCTGCCTGCTGGGGGACATGCCCGACCTAAGACTGCGAGAGCCCTCGCCCCCCGCCGAACCCCCCCCGCAGGACCTGACCCGGTCGGGCGAGGGCGCCGGGGTCCAGGTGCGGCCCCTACTCTGCGGAGGACGACGACGACGTGGACGACGTGGACGTCGACGACGACGACGACGACGACGACGACGACGACGACGTCGAGGTCGACGTCGACGTCGACGACGAGATCGACGAGAGCGCCGCCGCCGCCGACGACGACGACGACGACAACGACGAGGACGCGGACGAGGACGAGGACGAGGACGACGACGAGGCCAAGGGGTAGAATTAGGGCGACGACGACGGCGTCGTCGACGTTGCCAGGATTTGTGGGCGTCTCTGGATGGTCTCGTCGGACGAAGAGGAGGTCGATGGCGAGTACGACGATGACGAGGAAGCCGACGAGGAGGAGGGCGACGGTTTTTGGCCTTTGAGGAGTCCCCTCTCGCCACAGCTGAACGCAGATTGAAAAACGTGCCAGGATGGAACCCAGAAGGGGTCTCGGACTGATTCCGAGCGACCACGGAGACCGTCGCTTCTTGAGGCGGCGGCAGTCCACGTCGTCCCACCTGCGGTTGAATTCACCTTGGTGTTTGCTCAGCGTGTGTGAGTATGTGTGTGATTGTGGTTGTGTTTGTGTGTATGTGTGTGTTTGTTGCTTGCTTGCTTGTGCGTGTATGTGTTTCTGTGTGTTGTGTGTGTGGGTTTGAGTGTGTTTTGCTTGTGTTTTTGCGTACGTATGTGTTTGGTGTGAATGTGTGTGTGTGTCTGTCTGTGTGTGTCTGGTTGTCGTCGTGTCTATATGTGCCTGTGTGTGTGTGTGTTTGGTTTGTGTGTGTGTTTTTGTGTGGTTGTGTGTGTGTGCGCGCGAATGTGTGTGTGTGTATGTGTGTGCGTGTGTGTATGTGCGTGGGCGGTTGGGGGGATTGTCTGTGGTGCGATGTTGTTGATCTTGAGGATACTCCCTTGTATTATCAAAAACGTATGGGAAAGCATTGTCTTTGTTTTCGGTGTGCCGTTACAGTTGGTCACGAACCGATTGCGACCATGACATGTGCCATACTAAGAGCAAGGACACTCCAGGTCCCTGCACCCCATGCATGTGCCAATGGACCTTTCATACAACAAAGTGGTAACCATCCCTAGAACACCTTGCGCCGCTTGAACAACAACTCAGTGACGTACCCAATCGGACCGGTATACGCGCGAACGCTTCGCCAACGATCATTGGCTCACATTCGACGGTCCTCATGCACACAATCGCTTGTGTGACGTAAATCGTAAACAGGAAGGCGACGGTGAGCAGACCGAGGAACACGACATCGGGGACAGAGCGGTGAGGAGGGGGAAGAGGGATATTGACCAGTCATAGCCGCAGCACCGATCGCAATATCTGCGTTGCAGAGCCGCGTCAGATGCGATATAACACAGACTCGCGATGCGACGAGTGCTGACGTTGCCCGAGAGCCTTGCTGGCGAGAGGCAAACGGAGGAGGGGATGGGACACGGGCGACAGTCAGCGTCGCGCGTTGCAGAATTCTCCCCGCGCCATATGACAGGCCAGCGCCGCGCGCCCTATGGTAAGTTTATGTGGCTATTGCGCGTGCAACTCCCCTCCGCTGGACCTCCCAGCAGCCCGCGAGAATGGCGACAGTTGCGCAGTTCGCAGGCCCCAGGAAGGGCGAGGTCCAGTCTGGACGCGAGTGGCAACGCCACTCCGCGGGTCCTTCCGTGGATCTCGGGGTGGCGGCGACAGATGCGCAGCTGGTAGCCGCCCCACGGAGGGCGAGGCCTAGCCTGGATGCGCGTGTGCTGTGGAGACCCATGCCTGCTTGCCTCCAGGGTGCCCTGGGTTTCTTTGGTTTCGGTGCGTTTGCCATGCCAAGCGTGACGTGCCCACACGAAAAGCCAATGGACGTCCTGGGGGTCTCAGGGTTGGCTTTCTTGCGGAAGGTTTCATCTGGATTGGCCTCCACTGCATGTATCTCGTCGCCCTGCCCGCCCCCTCCTCCTCCCTCCTCCCTCCTCTCTTCTCCCTCCCTCCTCCTCCTCCTCCTCCTCCTCCTCCTCCTGCTCCTGCTCCTGCTCCTGCTCCTCCTCCTCCTCTGCGCCTCCCCCCTCCGTCCGCCCTCGAAGCGGCCTCCCCCCCCCCCGTCCTCCGCCCGCGAGCCCCGGGACCTCCGACGCCGCGCCCCTTGCCGCCGCGGCGCGGCCCCTCCCGCTGGACCTCCAAGGGTCCCGCGGGATCGGCAGCGCGCGCACGCAGTCGGCAGCCTCCCCGGGAGCCGGGAGGCGTCTGGTTCGGCGGCGCGCCCCGGGGGGGGGGGGAAGTCTAGGGGGGGGGGGTCAGGGCCGGGGCAGGCCTCTGCTCGGAGGGCGGCGGCGGTCTTCTCAAGAGCCCCTCTCGGGCCTTCTGAGAAGTCGGGCGTGTCCCTCTACAGAAGGAATATTCAGAAATAGTATCAACAAACCAGTCTTGGGACGATGTTTTCGTCCCAGCTACGCCTGTAGGGGGAGATGCCCAACCTAAGCCTTCTGAGAAAGCCGTCTCTGTCCTCGGGGAAGGCGGAGAAGGCCCCTCAGACGGTCCAAAGCACCCCCTATGGTGTTGGAAACAGCCACGCCTGCTACGCCCTGCGCCATGACCCGTGTAGACGCCACGCTCGGGGACCACCCCCAGCGCACCCCCTATGGTGTCGAGACAGCGCCGCGCCTGTTATGCCCTGCGCCATGGCCCGCATAGACGCCGCGCTCGGGGGCCACACCCTGCGCACCCCCTATGGTGTCGAGGAAGTGCCAAACCTGCTACGCATTGCGAATGCTACACGCACGTCCTTGTATATGGCATGTCATGTGTATGTGGATGATGCGTGTGCGGCCGTATCGGGACGTGTGCCTCACGTGTGTGCCCAGTATGTAGCGCATACGTGTGCGGCCGTATCGGGACGTGTGCCTCATGTGTGTGCCCAGTATGTACGCATACGTCATATGTGTGTGTGTGTGTTGTGTGTGTGTCTGTGTGCGCGTGAGGAGAGGGAGAAGGAGAGGGAGGCGGGTGAAGAAGATGCGGGTGCGACGCGACAGAGAAGAAAACAATAACCCCACGAAACATGTGGGGAACCAAAGCCTCCTCCTCCGCTTTCCAGGCCTGGCTTCACGAACCCTCCTGAAGCGCGTTAGATGCGGGTGCGACACGACAGAGAAGAAAACAATAACCCCACGAACCATGTGGGGAACCAAAGCCTCCTCCTCCGCTTTCCAGGCCTGGCTTCACGAACCCTCCTGAAGCGCGTTCTGACCCGGAAGTGGAGAAGGAGCCGGCCTTTGGCGACGAGGGCGCCCCCGATTAACCAAGAGATAAAGTGACGCCCAAACTCTTCGATTGTGTATCCCCCGCTTCCCCGTCTCCTTCGAAGCGGCGGCCGCGGGGGAAATGGGAGGCTTCCTTGCTGCAGTCAACCCGCACAGTAAGGATGGGCAACCTTCCCAAGTGTACCCTTGCATCCTTGCCTCCTCGGCCCATCCTCGGCCACTCTCCTTCGTCGCGCCGCGCTCGGGAAGCTTCGAGATGGGCGTCCAAGGCTCCCTGCATCCTCATCGCGCCTCCTCGTGATGCGGGCCGGCTGTGCCGTCCGCCCGAGGCCCACGAGAAGGAGGAGGAGCTGGAGGAGGAAGGAGGAGGAGGAGGAGGAGGAGGAGGAGAAGGAGGAGGAAGAGGAGCTTGAGCTGGAGGAGGAGCTGGAGGAGGAGCTGGAGGAGGAGGAGGAGGAGGAGCAGGAGCAGGAGCAGGAGCAGGAGGGGAGGAGCAGGAGGGGAGGGGGGAGGGGCGGCCGGGCCGCTCCCCCTGCCCCCCCCGCCCCATTCTCCGCAGACGTCCTGCGGCCTCTGTTCGACGGCATGGGCCGTCGGGCCTCTCGCCGCTTCCCCCGGGGCCGGCTCCTCGATCCTGAGGCGTGTCCGTCGGGGACGGCAAAGAGGGGGGGGATGACTAGGGGGGGGGGATCTCATGGCGTGGGCCATGAGATATCTCCCCTGACTTCATGGCGCCCCTTCCTATCTCATTGCGTCCCTGGGCCCCCCCCCCCTGGGCCGCGCACATGCCGCCGGCCATGATTTGCGCCCCCCCCTCTTGGACACCCCTCTCTCGGCCGCCCCCGAGTGTCCGTCGTCGTGCCCGGCGCGTCCGAGGCCAGTTTCTGAGGGCCCCGAGTGTGGAAGCAGCTGTCGTCCTGTGCTCGGCGGGGGCTCCAGTCGGCCAAAGCCAAGCCAGACTGCGACAGAGAGGACTGCACCGTTCGGCGGCGAGCCCGGGGGGAAGTGAGGAGGGGCGGGACTTCGCAGAAGGCTCAGAATCAAGCAGTGGCGAAGCGTCCTGGCGTGCCTATAGGCTCACCAAACAATGTTCTAAGAACCTGTTGTGGTTTCCACGGAATGCTCTTATAACATTTCTGGCTGGGACTGTCTTGATTTAACATATCGGCTTCATGTTCTAAGAATGTTGTTTTGTGGTTAGAACATGTTTGAATTCTAAACTTTCGTGATAGGCCCATATGTAGGACTACCGGGACGGTCGGTCCCTGCTCAATTAAAGTCCCCCAGCCTTCTGAGAAGTTCTGTAAACGTTTCTCGAAGGCACGGAACAATTCGCAGAAGGCGCGACGGTTTCTGAGAAGTCCCGCCGCCTTCTTAGAAGGCCTTCTCCTTCTCCCTCCCCCCCTCGCTCGCCGCCGTGAAAAAGAGGATTGTGCGCCGGCGGGAAAAAGGGGTCGGCCACGGGCGGGGGGGGGGGGAGCGAGAGGGGCTTGGCGGCATACGCGTCGCATTTGACGCCGGTGCTGCGGCGCTTGCGAAGGAGCTGACCTGGGGAGGCGCAGTGCGGCAGAGCAGCACGTAGCCCTGTGTGGAAAGACGTGCCGTCTCGAGGTGCAGCTGGGCCGCTGAAGAAAGAGCCCTTCTCTTTTGGAGAGGGGCCCAGCGGTTCTGAAGTGTGTTGCAGTTTGTTCGATGGGAAGTCAAAACTCAATGCATGGCGATAAACAGGGGGCTCGTTCCTTACGTGGGCTTCCTTAGGACAGCGGCCTCACTGGATCGGGTGTCCTCGCTCGTTAAACGGCTTGGCTGTGGCGGGCCTTGCGCCAAAGCTTGCGTGGAACAGCGCGCCGTCTCCGGGCGTTCTCCTCAAAGCCGCGAGACGCCTCGGCCCGAGGGCACCCACTGCCCTCGCTGGGGCCGTGTCCACGGGAAGCCTCCACGAGGCCAGCAAGAGGCATGAAGGCGGTCGTCCTCCCGCGGGCGCAGGCGGTGCCGACCGATCCCAGCTCCTGGGCCCTCCTCCCTCCTCCTCCTCCAGGGTGCAGCTCCTGGGAGGACAGGGGGGGGCAGAGGAGGAGGGGCAGGACAGAACACGAGGGCGAGGGCGAGAGCGAGAACGAGGAGGAGACGAAGGAGGAGGTGGACCTCCTCCTCCTCCTCCTCCTCCTCCTCCTCCTCCTCCTCCTCCTCCTCCTCCTCCTCCTCCCTCCTCCCCCCTCCGAGGCGGAGGCCGTGCCTATGGTGTCGCTCTCGCTGCTGGAGTCCCTGGACGCGGCCCCGCCCGGGGGCACCGCGTCGGCCACTGCGGCTGGCCGCCGCCGCTTGCCGCCGCCACCGCTCGCGGGTCGTCGTCGTCGTCGGATGGCTCGGTCGCGTCGGCCGTCATCGTCGTCGTCATTCGATATCGGCAGCAAATCATGGGAGCCTGGTGCACCCTTTGAAATCCGTCGACTAGCGTCAATTAGCGTGTGGGAGTCGATGAGGTAGCGCCGATCTGGGGTCGATTAGCGTCGATGAGCGTCGGTTTGCGACGATTCAGCGTCGATTAAGCGTCGGCTAGCGTCGATGAGCGTCGATTCGCAAGAGCCGACCAGATGGTACGGGAGGCTCCCATGAGTTACCAGCGGAATTTGATGACTCGGTCGCGGTCGGTCGTCGTCGTCGGCGGTCATCGTCGTTGTGATCCCAGCTCTTAGATTCCCGACGATGTTCGATTAGCAGTACTTTCATTTGGGGGTTCTTGCTTGTCGTACTGAGGTAAAGGCGTTCCTGCCTACTTCAGGCTTGATCACCAACAAGAGTTTTGAGCACCAAGAAAGCATCGAAACTGGGGGGGTCACGTGTCGGGCCCTGGGAGGCCAGCCATATTCGTTCGACGCTTGGCCAGCGTGTCGGGCAGACACTGCTTCGATATGTTTCTGAGTGCTCGATGTTATCTCTGGAATGCGGCCCTGAAGCACGATGGGAACAACGTAATACTAAGGAATCGCATGGGCGCGGGGAGGGTTCCCCACGCTCTGGCCCGCTGCCGCCCGTTGCACCTCGCGCGGTTGCTTCGGAGGTTCGCCACGTTCCCGCCCGCCGCCGCCCGATGCTGCCTGTGTGGGTGCGTCTGAGGCTCGCCACGCTCCTGCCCGCCGCCGCCCCGTGCCGCGTGTGCGGGAGCGTCGAGGATTCGCTACTTTTCCGCCCCCCCGTGGCCGCCCGTTGCCGCTTGGCCGGGTGCGCCGAGGAGTCGCCGCCCTTCTGCCCGTGGCCGCCCGCTGCCGCCTGGGCCGGCGTCGAGAAGTCGCCGCGCCCCGGCCTGAGGCCACCCGCTGCCGCCCGTGTGGGTGTGTTGGTAGTCCCCAAACGTGGTGGTGACAACACCTGGCGGTGAGTCTCGGGCGATTTGGTGTCACCACCCGGTTTGGGGACTCGTGCGGTTTTCCGAGGATGTCCCGGACACTGGCGGGGTCCAGGAGTGACAAAACCCGGTGGTGACCCCGCGCCCCCAAACCCAGCGGTGACCTTTTTGGGGATTCCAGGTCACCACTTGGTATCTCACCACCCGGTTTGGGGGTTCCCAAGTGTGCCGAGGCTTCGCCGCTTTCCCGCCCGCTGCCGCCTGCGAGCGTGTGCGTCGGGGCTTCGCCGCAGCCGGGCGGGCCCGCTGCCGCCGGGCGCGTCGAGGATGGGCCGCGTTCCCGCCCGCTGCCGGCCCGCTGCCGCCCGTTGCAGTTGGCGGGGGTGCGTCGAGGACTGGCCACGTTCCAGCCCGTTGCCGCCTCGTTGCCGCGTATCGGGCCGGACGAAAGGGGGGGATTGGGAAAGGGGGGGGGTTACGAAATCTGCTGCATGCAGCTGGTTTCGGCCCCACCGAGGGGCCCATTCCTCGATACATGGCCGCCTCCAGCGCCGGGAGGCGCCGGGAAAATCAGCTACGTGAGCTGATTCTCAAACCCCCCCTTTGCTATCCCCCCCTTTCGCCCGACCCGATGGTCGCGGAGACGCGAAGCATCAAGAATACGAGAACATGTGTCCCATTGAGTGGGACGCAGCTTTCCGTCTGCAGTTCGGTGATCGCGAAGCGTTGCCACACACTTTCCACCACATAGCTTCCACCGTTTATGTTTCACGACATAGCTTACAACACGTATATTCTGTTTTCTAAAAGAATATTAGGATCTCTCTTTTCTCCCGGATTGAACCGCCCCCCTTGCGTATTGTCATGGACGGTGTCAAAAACGTCGTGTAAAAAACCAGTTCAAAATCAACGGCCACGAACACATGTAAAGAACACATGGCTTCGCAACAAGAACTGTAAAACAAGTTTGCGCTCGCGCTCTTGAAGATTCTTTAGAAAAACATACGTTTGTCAACAGTTTCACCTCATGCTACCGAACGGGTCTCTCGCCCGCGCATGTCGGAATCGCTCGAAGGCGCTTGCGTGCGTGTTGTCGCAAGAATCCTTGGAGCAAGAGGGGACGAAGTGCACGCGCGCGCGTCGTCGCAGGATTCGTAAGGATTTCAAAGACTGCTGTCCCGAATATATATATAGTGGTTTTGACACATCAGCTTTGAAAAAAGACTGCGCGCGCTCCTGCGAATTATCAAGAGAACCATAGGTTATTGAAGATTGGCATCAAGTTCTCCCAAACGGGCCTCTCGCGCCGCATATCGAACACAGCCGAACGTCCTTGCGCGCGTGTTTGGGGGCACGACCCGTGTCAAATGATACGACGCGGGCCACTCGCGCGCGTCGGCCGCGCGCGCGAGGACATCGTCATCATTATCTGCGGGGCGTGATCAACATCGGCGCCGTCATTGGCTTTGCCGTCGTCATCGCCACCATCGTCACCATCATCGCTACTCTCGTCCTCGCGTCTACGTCGCCATGATACCGCGCCCGCCCAAGTCACCGACCTGCGCTGAAGTGCTCGCTGGAAGTGCCCAGCGGTCAGCACCACCGCGGTCGCGTCGGTCGCGCCGCACTAGCTGTTCGCTGCACGCGCGAATATGCGCGGGCGAGCGCGGTCGCAGAGCGACACCAGCCAGGGCCAAGCGTTTATCGCAATCGCCGTCGCATGGGTTTTGCAGACCAAGTTGCGGATGGGTGGGCGGGATGTTTGCGCAAGCCGTGGAGTTGACAACTCACTACGAGCGCTGGCGAGTTCCACCACATAGCTTCCACCACATAACCTTGTTATCACATGGCTTCTACCACATAGCTTCCACCTTTAGAGTGTGAAAACTTTCTTCCCAATGTCGGCCTCATGGGGCCATCAAGAACGGATCCGGGGCGAGCAGAATGCACCCTGGAAAAATGGTCGGGATTTCTGGGCAGCGCATCCAGCACAACATCACATCGTCGACGTCTGGGATCGACGCTCGGGAATCAAGGATCGAAGGATCGCAGGATCGGTGCCAGAGTCTTCGGTCGATCGCGGATCGAGAAGGAGACTTCTTACGTGTCTCAGAAGATAACGTTCTCGCCTGTTTCGGGCTACCGGGTGCCCCAGACGGCCCAACAGGGCCCCAGAGGGCTTCAAGGCGGTCCAAGTCACAGGGCCCCAAAACGGCCTCAAGATGGCCTCAATGTGGCCCCGAGGCAGCCCCGGGACTCCCCAACAGAGGCCACGAGACGGCCCCCGGATCGGGGGGATCGATTGGTCGAGGGCTTCGGGCGCGTCGCCGCGGCCGGGATCCCTTCTTCGCGTACGGTCTCCAGCAGGGCTCAGAGGAGCAAGGCTTAAGTCGTGCCTGTCCCTCTACAAGAAGAGTGTTCACAGATAGTCAAAAAATAGTCTGGGGACGATGTTTGAATATTTGTTGACCATTTTTGATTTTCTTTTTGGGGGGGGTATTTTTCATTGTTCCTCCCCAGATCCGCCTGTAGGGGAGCATGCCCGACTTAAGGCAAGGCCCCAGCCCGGCCTGAAAACGCGGGATACCTCATTTTGATCCCCCCTTTTCCCTGAGAGGGCAGAAAGCTCCAGGGTTCGAGCTGAGCGGTGTTTGGGCGATTTCTCGTGGGCCGTTTTCGTTCGGGCCCCGCTTTGCAGCAAAAAAGCGAGGCGAAGACAGAACGAGGCAAAACGAACAGAACGAAAACGAAAGACACTGGCGAGAACAGAACGAAAATTTTGGAGGAGTCTCGGGGGGGCCAAGAGGAGGGTGATGACCACAGTCAGCCCATAAGGCTACCCTTGCATCCTCTCCCGTCGGCCCATCCGTGGCCTTCCAAGGCGCCTGCCTTGCATCTGTAAAAGCGCGTCGTTATCATCATACGGGTTGACTGTCTGCACCCCCCGTCATCCTCTCCACCCCCGCTTACCACCTCCCTTCCCCCTCGCGGCACCGGCCGACCGGCCGCGCGTGGCGGAGGTGCTCACCTCGCGCGTGCACGACGCCATCTCCACCGCGACGTCCACCGAGGACGTTCGCGCCCACAGCGACGCCCGCCGAGATCCTCCCCAGACAACCGGCGGCTCCAGCACAAGTCGAGACGCCAGTCCCTGAGATCCTGACGTCTGATTTTCTTCTAGCTGGGCGTTGTCGCGTTTTCTTGTCAGGCTCCCGGATCCTCAGGTCGATCCGGCACGCGAAAGATGGCGCAGAAAGATGGGGTCCATAGCTCCATGGTTCAGATGTTGTATTTTTTCGCTTCGTCGGATCATAAGGCCATAAGGCCCTGCTTTTCCTCATCCGTTTCCTCATTCTCGTCCTCCCTCCCTCCCTCCCCTTCGTCCCTCCCCTCCCTCCCTCCCTCTCTCCCTCCCTCTCTCCCTCCCTCCCTGCCTCCGTTCCTCTTCAGGGCTGGCGGTACTCTGCCCTAGGCCTCCCTAGTGAGGTCCGAGTAGACGGGGCGGAAGGATCGCGCCGCATCGCCGATGCGGCTCGATGTAGAGCCCGATCCTCTCCACGTCGACGTCGCCGGTGCCGCGCCGGTGTCGACGATGCATCGGCGATGTGGCGCGATCCTCTCGGCACGAACGAAATGGGTGCGGAAAGAATGGGTACAATGCCCAACAGCAGTCCCTGTCCATTTTGAACAGGATTCGCTGTCCGCGCCGCCGCGGCCTGTGCCCATTTCAGACAGAAGGCCGCCTGCCCAACAGCGGCCGCTTTTGGTTTGGGACAGCAGTTGTTGCTGGGCATTGTACCCATTTCTTCCGTACCCACTTCGGGCGTGCAAATCTTCCGGCCCATGTTCGGAAATTGGAACATATACATTACCATTGGCGGGCTGTTTTTCAATCCCCGGATTTTTTTGAGGGTCGAGGACGACGTTGAGGTGGTGTGGTGTATATTGTTTCCCCGATGTCCCGGGGAAACGTCGAAACATGTATACACCAGGGTCCCGTATGCACCAGGATCCGCTCTCCAGTGCAAATTCTGATGCAGGGCCGGAAGAAGCGTCGGTGTACAGAGTTCGACTCCCTACATGCACTCGGGCCCCATCCAGGAGGCCCCCCCCTATCTCCGGCGACAGGCTGCAGCGGTCGCCCCCGCGGGGGGCGCAGAGGCCCGGGGCGCGCAGAGAGTACGACGGCGGCGGCGACGAGAGACCCTGAGACGTAAGTCGGGTCTGTCCCTCGACAGGAGGGATGTTCCAAACTAGTCAAAAAAAATCACAGCCTGGGGACGATGTTTGCTCCGTCTTTTCATGCTTGCCCATTCTGGACCTTCTGTTGACGAGTGTTTCACTTCCGTCCGAAATCCGCATGCAGGGGGACATGCCCGACCCAACTTGAGATCCCGGCGGCGACATGGTTTCGCACCGGGCGCTCTCACCGGGTTTCGGTCGGGCGGGCGGGCGGCAACGATGGGTCGGGGGCGGCCAAGTGGGGGGTGATGACTAGATGGGGGTTGGAGATCATGGCGAGGGCCACGATATTTTTTCAGATCTCACGGCGCCTCTTCGTATTTCAATACGTCCCCGCCCCCCCCCCCCTCGGTCCACGCACATGCCGCCGGCCATGATGTGCACCCCCCCCCTTCTTGGAAGCACCCCTCTTGGCCGCCCCCGAATGCGGGAGGGTCGGCCACGCGCTGTAGAAGGGGTAGGGTCAAGGCGGGCATGTCCCTCTACAGGAGGAATGTGCATAAATAGCCAACAAATAGTCTGGGGACGATTCTTGCAACATTTGTTGGTTCTGTGCAGGCGTTTTGCTTTTGTTTTTTGAAACAAACAACTATTTTTCCATTCTTCGCCCAAGATCCGCCGGTAGAGCGCCCCTGCTTCCGGGAAGGCGCGGCGAGAGAGGCAGCTGTTTTTCCAAGAGGCGTGCCTTCCCCCCCTGCCCCGACCTGGAGGGTTTCTCCGAAGGGCTTGGGCGACCCGTCCCCCTCCTCCTCCCCCTCCTCCTCCTCCTCCCCCTCCTCCTCCTCCTCCCCTCCTCCTCCTCCTCCTCCTCCTCCTCCTCCTCCTACTCCTCCTCCCCCTCCTCCTCCTCCTCCTCCATCTCCATCTCCTCCTCCCCCTCCACCTCCTCCACATCCTCCTTCTCCTCCTCCCCCTCCTCGGGTCGCCTACGGCCCCAGGGGAAACCGTGCACCCCCCTCCTGCGCGCCGCCACGAAGGGACCAAACTTAAGTCGGGCGTGTCCCTCTACAGGAGGAAATTTCACAAGCAGTTAAGAACATAGTCTAGGGACAATGTGTTGATTATTTCTGAGTGCTCTTCAACATTTTTTGAGTATGTGTTATGTTTCGTCCAAGAGCCGTCCGTAGGGGGGCATGCCCGACCTGAGGATAAACGTGGAGGAGGGGATCCAGGATGGCAGGACAGCGGCCCTACAGGGGGCCCCGCGCGGCCCCTAAGTTGCGACGGTGGGCCCCGGAAGGGTGAGCGAGAGGCGCACAGTGGATATCCATGCCGAGAATGCCCTGGGTTTTGTGGGGGGGTCGATGGTTTTGCGATGGAAACGCAACGTTCCCACAACGAAGATTGATGGACTTCCTGGGGTCGCAGGGTTGGGTTTCTTGCGGAAGGCTTCTTGTGGTCGGGTCCTTATTGTACATGTCTCCCTTGTCAACGAGCGCCCGAACGACGAGGGACTTTGAGATCCAGGCGTCGTATTTCTTCGCACCGAGCGCCTGTTGGGGGGGTGGCAAGAGAAGGGCATCAACGACACGCCGCCATGGGAGACTCATCAGCGTGTTACTGCTGAGGAAGCACATTGCTTCTTGATAGAGAGCAGAGGAGCACAGTCAACCCGCATAGTAATGATGAGCAACCTTCCCAAGGCTACCCTTACATTCTTGCCCCTTCGAGGAGGAGGACCCCCGTCCCTCCTACTTGCAGTGGCGGCGGTGGAAAACAAGCCCACCAGCCAGCTTGGAGCGCTGCCCGCGAAGCCCCGGGAGGGCCTCGCCTGGCCCTCCCCCGGAGGCCTGCAGAGCTCGGGGGCGGGGGGGGGTCCGAACGCGTGGCTGCCTCGCCGATCCCGGCCCCCGTAGCCGATCGTGAGCGTTTTCTTATTCGGCGTGTCGACACTGGGAGGAGGGGGGGGGAGGGGGGGGGTCTGGCTCCGGTACTCTGCTTGGTGCGACTGTTTGCAAGAGTGCGGCCTCTGGGGGAGACTCCACCCGCTCGAAACAGGCGCCAAAAAAACAGCCTGGATCTGCTACACGGGGTGGGGGCTGAGGGGGGGTTGGGGGGCCCGCGCCGATCGGCAAAGCAATGAATAAAAGAACGCTCACATCCTGGGCTCAGGATTTCGGAGGACGCGTAATGTTAAGTCGGGCATGTCCCTCTACAGGAGGAAATTGCAACAATGGTGATGAAACGTAGTGTGGGGTCGATGTTTCGACTACGTTTGACGCTGTCTCAGTATGCTTTTACTAGTTCTCATCTTTCTTCCAAAATCTGCCTGCAGGGGAGGGCAATGGGCGGGCGATCAAGGGGAGGGCAGCTGAGCTACAGAAAAGGGGCCCTTCTCCAGGGCGCCTCAAGGAATTCTCTCTGGCGCCCCAAAGAGGGCCTCCTGGGGCCCGAAAATGGCACCCTGTTGCCCCCTCCATTTGCATCCCCCCCCTCCATGAATTCGCGCCCAAGGGTGACCCTCCTGGCCCTGGCCGAGCCAGGAGGTCGTATCAATCGGAGGAGGACGAGGCGCCCGTGCCGCTGCCCTCGCCTCGTCTGCCTCTTTGGGGGGCCTCCGGGGCGGCCCTCGTGGCCACTACTGGACTCGCCTCGAGATCCTGGTCAGAACGCACCCGGGTGCGAGGACCGGGAAGTAGCGGCATCGATATTCTGCTGGCCTCCAGCCAGTGCCGCCGATCCGGGGCGCTCCGGATGATGATGATGCTGATGATGCTGATGATGATGATGATGGTGGTGGTGATGATGACGACGATGATGATGGTGATGGTGATGGTGATGGTGATGGTGATGGTGATGATGATGATGATGCCGCTGATGCCGCTGATGCTGATGCTGATGCTGATGATGCTGATGCTGATGCTGATGCTGATGCTGTTGATGTTGATGTTGATGTTGATGGTGATGATGATGATGAGGAGGGGGAGGAGGAGCAGGAGGAAGAGGAGGAGGAGGAGGGAGGAGGAGAAGGAGGATGTTGATGCTGATGCTGATGCTGATGTTGATGCTGATGCTGATGCTGATGCTCATGATCATGCTCATGATGATGATGCTGATGCTGGTGCTGATGCAGGTGCTGGTGCTGATGCTGATGCTGATGATGATGATGGATGGATGCTGGTGATGAGATGATGATGAGGATGAGGATGCTGAGGGTGATGATGGATGATGATGATGATGATGTGATGGTGGTGATGGTGACGGTGATGGTGATGGGATGGTGATGGTGATGGTGATGGTGATGGATGATGGTGATGGTGATGGTGATGGTGATGGTGATGGTGATGGTGATGATGATGATGATGATGATCATGATGATCATGATGATCACAATGATCATGATGATCATGATGATGATGCTGATGATGATGATGATGATGCTGATGCTGATGATGATGGTGGTGGTGATGATGACGACGATGATGATGGTGATGGTGATGGTGATGGTGATGGTGATGGTGATGATGATGATGATGCCGCTGATGCCGCTGATGCTGATGCTGATGATGCTGATGCTGATGCTGATGCTGATGCTGATGCTGTTGATGTTGATGTTGATGTTGATGGTGATGATGATGATGAGGAGGGGGAGGAGGAGCAGGAGGAAGAGGAGGAGGAGGAGGAGGGAGGAGGAGAAGGAGGATGTTGATGCTGATGCTGATGCTGATGTTGATGCTGATGTTGATGCTGATGCTGATGCTCATGATCATGCTCATGATGATGATGCTGATGCTGGTGCTGATGCAGGTGCTGGTGCTGATGCTGATGCTGATGATGATGATGATGCTGATGATGATGATGATGATGATGATGAGGATGAGGATGATGATGATGATGATGATGATGATGA